GGATGTTTAGCTAAAGAGACTGGTGGCATTGAAATAGGGTCTCAAAGGAAGAGGCATATAAATGAATAAGAATGGCATCCCTAAGGTTTCTGAGCATCTAGGATGCAACATCTTCTTGGTACAACGTGTTCTTGGCACTTAGGCTACATAAAACATATACTGCCTCTCACAGGATGCACCAAGTACATGCAATAAATAGTGGCTCTGTAGCAAGAAGCAAGCTCTTTTAATTTAAGACTTTGACATGAATCATGTTTATGGTGTACTGAGTTAAGTTGCTGGTCCTAGGTTTGTAGAAATTATCTGGGACCTGGCCAATACCAAAGGTCAAATGATACAAACCCTAGAACTGTGGTATGTTTTCTGTGTAACCTTTGGGCATTCAGAAGTTACAGGGGGCTGGATTAGATGACCTCAGGAGGTCCCTTTTAGTCCTACTTTCCTGTGATCCTAAATCTGAATCTTGGCCATACATCATTTTACTGGGAAGGAAAAGAGCGACTTTTTCAGAATACTGAATGGCTGTTTTATGAACTTGTTTTTCCAATAAATACCACTGATATAACACTCTCTCCTGGAGAGGAAAGGAGTGAATAGTGAACATACCCTTTGGGATTTTACTGTAGCACCTAAATTCAAAGACTTGTCTACTGCTTTTCTTTTACGTTTGCTCCTTTGAAGCCTACTGAAGCATGTTGCTGTGAAGTTCAAGGAGAGGTTATTGAGTCCTGTTTGCTCCTGGCATGTCTAAAACTGCTGACACACATTATGAAAGAAGGGAATATCTAGACACTCACAGCTGCAACAATAAAATAGCTACCAAGGAACCTTACCTAAAGCCAAGGACAACACTGTGCTGGGCAGAGCTATTGAACAAGGAGGGCTGTAATATTTATCCAGGAAATGCAAAGAACTTTTAGAAGACCTGCAGAAATAACTTCCTTTTTACTTTATTTTGTGGGAAAGGCCCACAAGTGGAATATGTTGAGGCTTTATTGACTGGTGATGAAAAAAAGTTATGCACATTTGTCAATGAAGAAAGTTCTACGAAGGTTCGGAAAATACCATTCACTGAAAGACAAAATGATGTTAGGAAGTTGCGCGTTTGACACCCTTCAAAAAGCAATCATTTAGACATTTTTTTCCTTTGAATAATCATCTGCTAAAGCATAAAGCAGAGTAGACACAAGGAAAACCATAGTTCTAGATGTAAAATATTTACTCAAATATAAGATGTGGTTTTCCCTCCCAATCAGCATGAAGGAAAAAGCCCTTCATATTATATTCACATACAAGGAAATGCATTAAGTACACTGCCCGTCATTAAACTCCTGCCAAAAGCAGCATGTGCTCAATGATGGAAACCAATTATGAAGCTGACTAAATGCAGCCGACACTGAGCATGACTAAAATACATGGCCCATAATCATACTGATGGGAACCTATTTTTTCCCCCCTAATTTCACATCTCAGGCCAAAGTAGCCAAATCAGTTCCAAATTTGATAGACTGAACAAAGCTCAGTCAATGAATGAAATCTATGTGACGCTACCCTGACAAGTATCTTAACTGCTAAGATAAATTAGTGCAGGCCATCTAAATAAGAGATAGGTTAGTGCCCGTTGAGCGCTGTCCCCCTCAGCAGCAACTCTTTTTCAAGTCATAGTAAGCTTCTATATTGGATACATTTTGACTTCCTCTTCAGTCTCACAGTTGAGCTTTAGCTTTCTTTCCCATTTCCAAGATTCCTGTTTCTTCACCAGTCTTACATGTCAGGCAAACATCAATAAAATGGAACTCCAAACAGCTTACCCCAAATCACAGTCAGCCTCTCCCTCAGCTTGTCACGTGATTAATGTGGCCTCACCCTCCGTAAGGTAAAGCCGGACAAGGTTGCCCTGCATATCATTTGCATATACATTCTTGGAACATCCCAGGACTTGTGATAAGAACACGCAGTTCCCATCACAAGTGGGAGGCTAATTAGCATGTGGCTCCTTTGGGGTGAGGACTTGCATGTAGGATGCCCACCTAGATTTGGAGAGTATTCAAAGCCCCAAACTGATGGGGCTGGGAGGGAGGATACTTCCCCCGTGGTACAGCCACACAGATTTGACAACTGAGCTCTGTTCAGCCAAATTTTGGAACTTGACTCTTGGGCTTTACACAACTAAATCTGTAACTGCTTTGGTCCTTGAAACGGAAAAAAAGAAGTTTGTACTATATATAAGCAGATGCCAAAGTGATGCTTATAACTGTGATTATGGAGTACCTGTGCTGAAATTTGCAGCGGTTTCAAAAAGGGTAAAATGCATCAATTCTAGATGAACCAATTCCATGGGTACTATATACTAATTGCTAAAACTATGTTTTTTCAAGTTCAGGGTTTTCAAATTTCCTCTTCACTTCCACGTGCTCAGGGAGAACAAAGCTTGATAGTAACAACAAGGGGAAGGGCTGCAGGGAAAAGAAGTTAGGGGGTGGCAGAGGG